ATCAGTATATTGAAATGATGATGCAAACAATTGATGTTCCTCATGTCTATATGACGGCTAAAGACGGTATCACAATTGGTGGACAATTTGCGCTTAATATGTACATCGATCCTATGCAGAATAACACTACACCTCTTGCTAGTATAAGTAAGTTTGAAGTAAATAACCTAGGAAATTTGCTGTATGATGACAGTGACTGTTTAGTACTCAATGGAACCATGTCTCTTACTCCTTTGATAGTCAATCGCAAGCTAAGCGCAAAAGTGTCGGACCTCAAATTTGCATTGAGACCGGGCACTTCGGATATTGGTGATATAACGTCCACGTCAGTAAACCGATTTTTTGTTGAAGACAGCGTTTCGGCAGAATTTTGAGTTCAGAATTCCACTTATTTGGAGCCTTCTCCCCATGAGAAACTCTTATCTGAGGTTTTCAGCGCATGTAATTGCCAAAAATGAGCTTTTTTCAAAGCTTTTTAGATTCGCATTCAGTTAAATTACGCGGAAGTCTGCCGCGCCCCGCCCCCTCGTTTCGGACTCCGCCCACTTGGTGCGAACTTGGAAAATCATTTTCGCCATTTTCATGCACTGAAATGCCCGGATATGGTTTCCCCGAGGCATCGAGAAGGCTTTGAAATAGTGAAAAAGTGGGAAAGAAAATTGTGGCGAAAAATTGCCTTTAACTGATTATTTCTTATCTTAAAATTGTAATTCCAGATTCTTAGCGGTATTTGAGACAATCTTCTCCAAAGTAACTAAATTCCTTATCAATGATGTTCTGAAAGTTGGCATTCCAATCCCATCATTTGCCAATGTCACCATATCAGGCAAGCTCATGATCGCTTTTTCCCCTTACATTTTGAGAATCTTTGGTATTTCACTTAATGCATTTACCGGTTTTGTTAACGAAAATCAATACTCTATATTTGCAGATGCAACAGAAATCCGTGTATTCGACAAATGCGTCCGTACCAACATCGGCTTTGAGTTAGAGGCGATATAAATGATTGTGGATGTATAGTGTATTTTTATATTCATTTGAAAGACGCAGTAAAGATCATTTTCGCTAAATGTCAATTTTTTTCAGCGCTAAGTGCGGCAAATCAATTGATCTACATATAAAGCTAAATGTCTGTTTGTCTGTCTATCTGTATGCATGT